CACATTTATTCTAGCCTATGTTGATGACATCCTCATTACAGGCAGTAATGATCATGAGGTTCAAAAATGCATTAATGAACTAAACAACCACTTCTCCTTAAAAGATCTAAGAGGTTTACACTCCTTCCTAGGCATTGAATTTCACAAGTTTCCTCAGGGGCTTCTTCTCAAGCAAAGTGCCTATATTACCACATTTCTTCAAAAAGCAGGAATGCAAAATGCCAAGGGCCTCTCCATTCTCATGATCACTACCCCTTTCTTATCCAAGCATGATGGTCAACCTTTTGAGGATGCCAGCCTCTACAAGAGTATTGTAGGGGGTCTACACTATGTGACAGTCATTAGACCTGAGATTAGTTACAGTGTCAACAAAGTAAGTCAATACATGCAGTCCCCACTTGACAAACATTGGAAAGCTGTCAAACGGATTCTTCGGTATTTGGCTGGTACTCTACACTATGGTCTACATTTTCAGCCTTGTTCCACTTACAATCTCTCAAGATATACAGATGCTGACTGGGGTGCCGATTTAGATGATCGAAAGTCGACCTCTGGTTTTTGTGTTTTCTTAGGTAAAAACCTTATCTCTTGGAGTTCAAAGAAACAGAGCATTGTCTCACGCTCTAGCACGGAGGCCGAATACCGAAGTCTTGCTCATGTTTTTGTGATATCATCTGGATTCAATCACTCCTCAAAGAACTCGCTGTGCAACAACCTCATGTTCCTGTGGTTTGGATGGACAATCAAAGTGCCATCTCCATTGCCAAAAATCTTGTCCGTCACCCGAGAACTAATCATTTTGAGTTGGACCTTCATTTCATACATGAAAAAGTTCTCCATAACATCATCACAGTCAACTATGTTCCATCCATTGATCAACGTGCCGATATTCTTACCAAACCTCTCAGTGGTCAACACTTCGATCGGTTACGGAATCAGTTGACCATTACAACCTTCACCGGCCTCGACTTGCGGGGGGATGAAAGCATACAAGATTAAATACCAGCTCAAATTAATTCACACGTCATGCATGAAGACAAGCTCATTCTTTTTCCCTTCTGCACCTGTTTTTTCACCTGCACTATTTACCAGGCTTCTTGTTATTATTTTGTCTTCTATCTCTTAGGAATCTTTAGTGTTGTTCCAATAGAGTAAGGCCATGTGCACTCCTTCTAGATCCATCTTAAGCTGTGAGGATAGAATATATATATCATACCATCTTGTACAGAAATTGATCAAGCAATGAATTGAAATTGTTCCAAATGAAAACCCCACCTTGTCTTGTGTTCTTGTTTATGGAGATGATCGATCCTAATGAAATCCAATATTTTTGAATTTGTAATTTATTGTTTTTGGAGTAACATTTGAAATTATGGTTCAATGAATGGACTACAAGGCTACAACGAGTTTTTTTAAAAGGAAAATTGAGAATAATTTGTTAACATGTGTATATATAATACATGACTATGCGGTGGCCAACAGGCCATGTAAATGAATGTATATAGAAGAAAAACAAATAAGATATTAGTTGGATATATCTTGTAGATGAGGTCCTCAAGTGAACATTTTGGAAAATATAATTCCTACCATTAGTTCTAAAAAAAATATATATTTATCTTATAAAATATAATAATATTTGATATAATATTCATACTAGCTCGACGGATCGATTAGAGTAATTAGTTCGAGTCACACAATCTGGGATAGCTTCTAGCTCGACAGTATTTTTTGACCCTATCAAGGAGCTCAGTATAACAACCCGGGGCACAGGTCAGCTCCGATTACAAACTAGCAAATTGAGCTTATCCAAGAGCTCGATCAGAGGAGGAGTTGTCATGACCTAAAGGTCGTGTAACAGATGTTTTCCTCGTGTAACAGATGTATGTTGGCAAAGTCATGAGGTCGGTGTGACGACCTCAGGACCTGCTGAATCCTCGTAAAGAAGGGAACATAATCCTACTAGTGTGGCGAGTATATCTAGCTAAGGGATAGAAGATTTGAAAGGCGTGTGAAGTGACGATGACCTGGATTTGAGGTAATTGGTTGTCGTAAAGCTCCGATTGTCTGGACATAGTCGATGTCCTGCGAAACAAAAGCCGAGAGGAACTCCCGACGTGAGCACTTCGACGTACAAGTTAGTACAGAGAAGATGATAAGCTCTGTATACAGAGTATTATATGTAATGTGTAGAGAGAACGTAAAGAGTTTTCAGTGGTACCTCAACCTCTTTTTATAGGGGAATACTTTGGTGCCCAAGATGTGGCTGCTCGAGCTGCCCCAATCAGCCTGCCCAAAACTGTTATGGGTTTTCTGTAGTGCCCCATTTGTTTTATAAGAGACATCTCGTTTATTTTATTTTCGAATGCATGCATTGCATTTCTTTTAAGCTCGACTAAGTTAATAAGTTATTCGAGATTATTTAGACGTCCTTGTCTATTTAATCCAACAAGTTAAATAAATTAGGTAAATGTCCTCATCTACTTGATTGTTCCAAGTTTCGACAATTCGCATGTATTCAAAGCTCGTTCGTTTTCGAATTCTCGAGCAAGCCTTTTTGCACTACCAAGCTTCAAGCTCCTAAAAATCGGTCCTTGAGCCCAAAGAAATTCAGCCCTTAAACTCTCAAGTCTTGGCTCCACTTTGGCTTGTTTCAAAATTCAAACATTAGGAGCAATTTTTGGTATGATTGGCACCTCCAAGCCTTCCTTTTTGGCTGACCAAATTACGTTTCATGTTTCCCCTTTTAGTTTTTTACACGCCCTTATCACTCCAATAGGGAAGGATTTTAATCCCATGTTCACTAGGTAACAAATGAATAACTAATTAAATTTCAACAAACTTGTCCAATGTAAATCATGTGCAACAAAATAATTCTTTATCTCATCTCTACAAGACAATCTTGAGAGCAAAAATAATTTTATTCAAACCCATCTGCCTTAACAAACGTGGCCTTACGAGTTCATTCAAATTTTATACTTAAAAATTTAATTGAAATTTTTATGTTAAATTATTGGGTAATAATAAAATATTATTGATAAATTTAATAAATTTATATATCAAACCATTATATGGTATGAGGTGGAAAATCGAGAGTTTTTTATTCTAAATAAAAACAATAATGTAAATTATAAATAGTACATTATAATTTTATTTTAGAATGAAACTCTTGATTTTCTAAAAAATTAAGAAGATAAGGGTAAATAAAACCTTTATTAAAAATGTGAAACATATAATAATCAGATAATTAGTAGTATAACAATACTCTTACGTGTTCATTCAAAATTTAATACTTAAAAAATTAATTGAAATTCTTATTTTAAATTATTAGGTAATAATAAAATTATTACCGGTAAATTTAATAAATTTATATATCAAGCCATTTATATGATATGAGTTGGAAAACTGAGGGTTTCATTGGCGTGCCACGTGGCTAAGCCAAAATTTTCTATAGATTTTACTTGATAATAAGATCATTTTGGGCCGTGTTATTCGGCCTAAATTTTTTTATTTATTGGGTTGAGTATTTAATTTTTCAACTTATTTTTAAAAGGAGTTGATCCCTCTACTTTTAGGCAACGTGGCCCCTCACTAACTCTCTCATGTATAGTTTGGGATGTTTTTTCTTTTTTAATATGTCTTTATTGTATTGAAAAATATCCCACCGACCCTTTAATGTGAATGACTTTAGATACGAGGAACCACTTTTCTCTTTAATACCTAAATTCTATTCATTTGTTTCCTCTCATCTCATTTCAATTTGTGTATCATAATTTATTTAATTGCAAGTATGTTATCCATTGTTTCTCAATGATGAGATGTTATTATAAATTTTTAACACACTTGGACAGATATCTCTATTCCATTACAAAATAGGTTGAGAGCTCGTACATGCTAAAAATTGAGTTAATTGGCGGCCCCTTGTTGTCAAACTAATTACACAAGCAAAAAAAATAATTTTTAAACCACTTAATAAGCGTGGCGGCTGTTATAACAAATTTGTCATTACAAAAATAATGTTTGACCGATTATGTTTGATTTTGAAGACGAAAAGTTGTGTTTTCACAGTCTTGCGTGAGATCAATTTTTTGTCGTATAATTTGCTTATTTTGTCAATGTTTTAGGTGCGTTTGTGAACATAAGTTCTTTGACGGTGTTTTTTTATGCAACTTTGGATATATTTATTTTAAAATTTGAGAGATTCCTAGTAATTATTTTAACTAGCATTTTTTAAACTCCATGATTTTAGTTGTAAAAACAAGGAAAAAGAAAAAAGAAAGAACATATTCAGCTCTAGTCAATCTTACTTACGCTAAGATTGTGGGGTTGGAATTGTTGCGGGATTTGATTCGTGTGCTGGACTGAGTGATCGTTGTGGTGTGCTCGTGAGAAGCTGCGGATTAGTATTCTATTGTTAGTGTGTGTACTGTTAGTTTTTAGTGTAGGTATGATTATTCTCTCCATGTAGGAGTTCTATTCTCCACTTGGTGTTTTTAGTTTTAGTTTTTGTTTGGATTGAGTTTCAAACATGCCAGATTCAGATGTTGTTGCCACTGCTGAGTGTCCCTATTCCAGTAGTTTTTGTTTTTAGTCTAGGGTGCTTTTGTTATTACTCCTCCTTGAGTCCACCTTCTTGATGAATTTGTAGGATAGTTAGCCTTCGGGACTCATTTTGTAAATCTCTCTTTTGAGGTATAAAATCTAATCGTTTCTGAAAAAAAAAAAAAAAAAATCTTGATTACGCCTAATTCAATAAAATAAAATAAAAGATTTTATAGAGATTTTTACAAGAATCTTTGACAAACAAGCTCAGCCAAGAAGATGGCATATTATTAAGGAAAAGGACAGTACTTAAAACAGGACTATTTCTAACTTCTGCAAAGTAGCCTATACAATAATTAATAAAGGAAACCTAAATGTGGACCAAAGTGTGTGCCACAAGAGAAGCAGTATATGCAATACTTGAAATTAGTTACTACATTTCCAGCACAAATTTATTGCACCTAAATGTGCTCTCCAGAATTTTTATCTGCTGCAAACTCTTTCAGAATTAGTGCTTGAGCCCCTTCCACAACTCTCTTTATAACTTCGCCCGCAGGCAAAATTTCCTTAATGAGGCCCACACATTGTCCTGCATACATTACCATGCTCTCTATATCACCTGTTGTCGACGCATTTGGAACTGTACCCGCAAAACGCCGAATTTCTTTTTCCTGTGAGCAATAATGGAAGTGTCAGATTATTAAAGGTACAAAGGAGATCACGATTGATAACATTAGTCAAGTTCTAGCAAACACAAACAACTAAAATGGAAACAAAAAAACCTTAATTGGGATCTCATTTATTCAAAAAGAAAAAAAAAAATGCATTTTTTGGCGTACATGTCTGAGTTTTGTCTGTTTTGCTAAGATGTCCTTTATTATTTAACAGGCAAAATTGCCTTAATATCACGACCTTTTTTAAAATTAAAAAATTACAATTTAATCACGACCTTTTCACCTTTGCAAACTATATCAGCAAACTATATCACAATATTCAGTTTATTGCAAATCGGTGCAAAACTATATTGCACTCTCAGTCTGTTCTTCGGCCACATCAGCTTTTCTACGGCTGGTTTTAGAACCCGTGCACCGATTTGCAACAAACTGAAGTTTGTAATATAATTTGCAAAAGTGAAAAGGTCGTTGATTAAATTGCAATTTCGAAAAAAGGTCGTAATATTAGGGGCAATTTTGCCTAAATAATATTGTAGCATATTATTTACCACTCCGTGTATGATCGAGCGGCCAATGATTGGCTGATTGCTCTCATTCACGTCGCTTGGAAGGGTCCTCCAGTCCATGAAGAAGGGAGTTGTTAGGACGCGGTGAGGTGCGTCGGGCCATCTTGCGCGCCCAAACACGTCCGTGTACTCCGTTTTTTGTAGTTCAACCAACTTCGCCTTGTATATGGGGTGAGCATAGCTTTCCTCTGTTGCTAGGAACCTGTTACATGAGGTTATTATTGTTAAACATGTAAAGAAGTAACAGGAAAAGGCACATAATATCTTACTTTTCAGACTACTCCCAAATATAAGTATGATATTTCATACATCAGAACAGGGGCGGACACAGACTTTAAGTACAACGGGGGCACAAACTTTGGTCAACGGTCAACGCCGACGGTCAACAGTCTACAGGATGTCAACGGCCAAATTAATAGTTAACCATTTAAAAAAATAAAAAGATTAAATATTGACCAGACACTTTGTTCCCTATTTAGAGTTGGGTCTCGCATTCTCATTCTAAGAATAGGGATACATTTGATCCAATCCATATATAGTATATACATTTATGTATAATATTGATGTATTTTGGGCGGGGAAAAAAATAAACAAGACACTAAGTATAGCATAAACATAAATTCCACAACTTAAAAAATAACATACTATTGAAGGTTAAATGATTCTAAACATTTCTTTTTAATTTTTTTATATTGAACTAACTTTGCATAATAATTAATAAGATGTATTTTTTTATGTCAATATAATAATACATATACGTATAACATATATATATATATACTATATCACTAAAAAATTCTACTGTGTAAATCCGCCCCTGCATCATAATAACTCAAACCTCGCCATTATTTGATTCTGTTTTCTACAAAGCCGCATCATCAAGCAGGGACAAAATTTGTAATATTTCGAAGAGGAATTTGTAATTTCGAATGATTACTTGAGTTCCTAGCTAATCAAGTTAAATTAAGGGTGAATTTCTGGTAATTATCTATCCCAAAATTTAAATAAAAAGGCAGGTCAAACCTTGTGCCCATAGCAACAGCGTGGGCCCCAAGGGCGAGAGCAGCGACATAACCGCGCTCGTCCACTATACCCCCAGCGGCTATTATAGGAATATCACGACCATGAACAAGATCCACCACTCTCGGCAATAATGTGATTAATCCATCCTGATTTTTTTCAAACATAATAAATACATAAATGTGGTCCATCAGAATATAATTCTACAATATCT